ACACACACACACACACACACACACACACACACACACACACACACACACACTAGCAAAACATGTCTAGGTGCTGACAGTTACACATACTGATCTGTGGCACAAACCCAGAGGAGACTGCACACACTGAGATACTCGACAATATTCTTGATGAGCCTTTAAGTGCAGGTTATCGACTTTCTCTTTAAGGACAATGAGAGCAATGTGTATGTAGGTATATATGTAAACAAATATGAGTTTATGTTTGTAATTACTCTCCTTCAATCATTATTAATTATTGTTATGGACTGTGAGTTAAGGGGAAAAAATACCATATAACGTGTATACGTGAAACAGGAGAAAACAGTGAGATATCCACTGACATGAATAAGAATAAACAGATAAACGCATGAACCAGCCAGTTATTACAATGTCCTAAAACACAAATAGCAGCTGCAAGGATGGAAGTAACTGGAAGTATTTTTTTAATTAAATGTATTGATTACATTCATAAATACATTCCCTGAAATGTGTATTTAATAATTACATCTAAAAAGGTGGAAAAACAAATAACCGTGGACAGGAAATAAACATCAGAACATCGTATTCTCTTTTAGCATTTGAACGTGACAAGGTTGGTGTCTGTGTGTGTGAGAGAGAGAGAAGAGAAAGAAAGAACAACAAACCAAAAAAAAAAAAAGAAAAGAAATTGAGGGCTTTTGGCTGAGTGAGTTGACATTCACAGTGGTGCAGTGTTGTCTCACAACAAGATGTCCCTGCGCTTGAATCTCCTCTAGGGACATTCGCCGTGATGCGTGCTCTCTGTGTCTTTCTCTTCAGATACTCTGTCATACTAAAACAGTGCATGGCATTATGCCATTTTAAATCGACCACAGGTGTGTGTGATCATGAATTGTTATATGTTATTTGTCTGTGTTACCTTGTCACAGATTAGCAGTATTTCCAAGCTATATCTGCCTTCTTGCCCTGTGAGACCTGGAAATCGAATAAGTGGAAGGAAATGGATGGAGTCAAGATTATTTTACAAGCTCATAGACTGATTTTTACCCAAAAGATTTTATTTCCTAATTATATATAATTAGGAAATGAAATCACATCATGCATAATCACACACACACACACACACACACACACACACACACACACACACACACACACACACACACACACACACACACACACACACACCTACCTTTCGTAAGTATGTATTTAATTTTTGCTTTTTGGTGAAATTTATACACACAGAAAGGAATGATGGTTGCACATCTGTGATATATGATTCTTGTATAGTGACATGTCATACAGTCAATGTCATTTAGGCAGAATAAGAACACATTCATCAGAAGACCAGACATTCTGATTAAAAAAAAAAACTAACCTTTAATAGATTTTATCTATATATATTCACTAAAAGTATTTCATTGTCTTGAATGGTATTCAAGCTACAGCTGCAACTTTATTGGGTTCACCTACAATTCACATAGTAGAAGAAAACGTTTAGTCAATACAACTTTTATTTATTTTTTGTATGATCATTTTGGAAGAGATAGTTTTACTGTCAATATAAAGCGCCTTGAGGCGACTGTTGTGATTTGGCGCTATATAAATAAAATTGAATTGAATTGAATAGTTTGTTTTGAAGCTGTACAGAACACATTACAATAAGGGGACTAGATTTGTCTAAAGGTTTTTCACAAAAATTATATTTTCAGTACATAAAAATACTCAGTCATCATTCCTAATGATAAATATATATTTGCCCCATTAATGATGTCTTTATAGACAATGATGTTGATACAGATTGTGATCCGTCCATCATGTGTAAATATTTTACAGGAACCATGTAAAATACCTTCTCGGTTGCTATACCTAGATTTTCACTGGGTTACACCTAAAAATGTCGTTCACTGTGATCCCAATTGAAAATCGTCCAGTACACAGTAGATTTCCACTGATCTCTAAATGTCATGGGTGCAGTACAAGAAGCTTTCTTTTACTGCGATGTGCAGAGGAAATGCGCTTGGACGTTTTTGTGGCCGGCAAATGACCTTTGAGATTTAAAAATGTGACCTATTTTTTTTAACCTTCAGGCGATGTGTGACCTCATAAACACAGGAGGTCAATGCAGTTTCACGGATTCATGCATTTTTCACAAGAAGAGGCTTTTTTCTTTAGTTTTAAATTGAATTAACAGTTCTCTACCAACATTGCCATGTGCACGTGTCCGTTTACACTGACTGTATTAATTAGTTAAAAATTACAGATCAGTAATCACAGTCAGATTGATTATGCCCGTTTCTCTAAATTCTTTCATTATTTTTGTAGATGAAAAGGATAGAAGTATATCTCAGACAGGCAGAAGCTGAAACTACGCGTTTCCCCATCATTTAAAAGTTTTTCGGGTTTGCCAGAAAGTGGAGTCGAAAACTAACCGACGAGTCAACAAGCGTTTTTTAACCTACATCATATTTCATAATCTTTCGAGGAAGATTTTGTTTTGAAAGAGAATGTGTTTTCTTCTGTCCAGTCTCTGACAGACGAAGAGGCCGACAGACGTACACGCGGCATCAAACCCTCGAGTTGGAGAAGGAGTTCCACTTCAACCGGTACCTAACGCGTAAACGGCGGATAGAGGTCGCGCACGCTCTCGGCCTCACAGAGAGACAGATCAAGATCTGGTTCCAAAATCGGAGGATGAAGTGGAAAAAGGAGAACATTGTGACGAAGAGCGTCGCCCCCACATCAGTGAGTCGAGAAGAAGAGGAGGCGGTCGATGAGGAGGACTGATGTGTGACCATATATTTTAAGAGATAAGAAAAATGTATCAGAATTTACAGGATAGGACCATTTTCAACAAAGAACTCTTCTGTTACAATTCATGAATCCTAGACTCCTTCGTGTTATTACTTCAAGTGATTTGCGGCAGAAAGGCACGAGATGGTTGTTGATGCAATGAATGAAACAGCAGCACTTGTGACTTCTGTGGATTCGTGTTATATCTATTCCATGTGCAATTATGTATGTATATATTTTTATGTTTGAAAAAGTCTTAGCCCATAAATCAAAATCCAAGAGCTATACTAGCTTTTTGTTTCTGTTATTATTGTTCTTATTATCACTTCAGAGCGAAAGTAGGCAATCCCCTCCGCAATATTTTGATTTGTCCCCTCAATATTTAGCGGAAGAGGTTAATTTATATCCCCCCCCTCCCCAATATTTAATGCTACTAATAGATTAAAACAGTAAGATTGATTTTTTTAATGACTCAGCAGGTATTCTGCTTAATGGGAAAACTGTAGGAAGAATTGTCCGCGAGCAGTACTGCATTATACTCCTGTTTGTTTTTGTGTTATTTAGTATCTGAAAGTTCTGTTTTACCTTATAAGACGTTGTTACCATAAATGTATAAAGATAGACCGAGACATTTCATATGAAACATTCATGTGGTAAGGTGCCCAAACAAATTTCGTTGCAGCAGAAGGCTGATTTTTATTTTAAATGATCGCGTTTTTAAAATAAAATTAAAATTAATCGACTGTTTGCACCAGTGCTTCCTTACTTAGTTGCTGTTAGTGCATATATATATATATATATATATATATACTGAGTAATTTTATATACTGAAAACATAATTCTAGTGACAAATATTTAGACAAATGAAGACTGAATATAATATTTTCCCCTAAACTTAATTTTTAACAGTCGCTTATTTTGAAAGATGTGCTTAGATGTAATTGATGCTAGCACAGTATTCTTCGAGCCCTGTAAAACTAAAGGATGGAATTATAATGTAATAAAATACAAGATTTGGTATCTAGTGGGATCAAATATTTGTACAAAACGCAGTTGTTTTGTTTGTTTGCTTGATTTTAAAACAAACAACCAAACATTATTGACTATACATCGATCTATAACATTAATAAAGGCTAACGCTGTTTATTCATCACCATTTCAATATTTAAAAATCTTTTTTATGTTACTAAAGAAAAGGGTGTTATTTACAAAAACGTGCTTCAATAATCCAAGTCCTTTAGCATCAGCAGAAAATCTTTGTTACTTAAGATAAGAAAAAAATGGACTTTCTTGTGTTGTTGTTGTTCTTCGGCCAAAAATATCAAGTTTGCGCCTTCAGACATTTCAAGGAGTGCTTGCCTTAAAAAGCCACCCAGTATCATAACATGAGTGTGTGTGTGTGTGTGTGTGGGGGGGGGGGGGGGGGGGGGGGTTGCATCCATGAAGAGGCCAAAAACTCCAATAAAGGCATCAGACGAATAAAGCAGATGGGAGGATGGACTAGTTCTTCGTCCTGCTCTATCTGCTCTATGCAGTTGTTTTGTTTTCAGTTAAAATTTAACTCGAGCTATTCAGATAGAGGAAGCATCGGATCCCCTTCTCCTGCTAACCAGACAGTGTGCTGGTTTGGAAAGGTCACACATGGGTCAGTGAGGGTTTAAAAGAAAATCTGAAATCTGCCAAACGTCGAGCCTGTAAATAGGACGCATCATACAGAGGATGACAGCGATAAATGCAGACCAACTTGACTAACAACTTGACTAACAACACAGAAAATACTAATTCTGCTAATATTGGCGCTTTTGATCATATGGGATGTGGTTCCAGTCTGCTGTCAAAGCAAATTCGCTTATAAGCTGGGTTTTAATATCAACGAAACCTAATTTAAACGTTTGAAAGGTCTTATATTCTTTGAAGAGATCTTCTTGTAGTAGATGCGGGGAATGGTTCGTCATACTGCAGCAATTTAGACTGCAACCTCTTTAAGATTCAGGAAGCGTTGGATTTGGACTTCTTTGTGGGAGAACAAGACCTGCATTACCAAATAAAATGATGCGTTCAAAGACTTTACGTCAGGTGTACTCCAGACACTCGTCGTTGAAATGAAGCTCTGATGTGCTTGAACATTTCCGATTTCTAACTGTATATCTGTAAAAACATTAATATACTTTCGCTGCAGTTTCTGGCTATCCTCGGCTTCGGGCCTGCAGGTTTTAAATGGTGACGCCTTGCCGCATTGCGAAACCACTTTTACTCACAACATTTCAAGCCGGGACAGGTACTACACTCCACTGTTGTTTTTTTTTGTTGTTGTTGTTGTTGTTGTTTGTCTAGGGATCTCTCATTTAACTCATTTTCACTTATACATTTCCACAGTAGGCTACGATACACTGCGTTCAATCCCTTGTGTCATAACACTTTAAACGCAAAGAATGACGTTTAAACTAATTCATTAATGATTAAAAAATGTCGCATAGGCGGCTTCAAAAGATGAGAGATTTCTGTTGATTCAGCTGATTCATATTTCAGCACCAGGGACGCAGACTTTACGTTCGTGCCACTTTCACAAAAGAAAACTTGTCTGTGTTTTGACACCAGGTCTTCTTACAACAGCAGAACACGGAATATTGGTGTTGTACTAAAAAAAATCTCAAATGCAGTATGGAAACAGAAACTTGTTTGCTCCACATTATTCCTCCTACCTTGTCTTTATATAGCTACATCTGGTTTCTGAAACATTTTGGGTCTAAATATTGTCACGTGTCGTTAATGAAAATATAATGCAAATATGACAGTGAAGATAATAAGGAAGCTCTGTCTAATTATCTAAAACGAACAAAAATCAAATAAATATAAAGCATGACATGAAAAATCCACAATAATGCGTAGCAAAATTCTTCACGCTCTCCAGTGCTTTGAAAGCTTTTAGCTTGCTTTTTAAGAAGCGGTCGATGAAGAAAATGGCGGCCTGGAGAATGAAATAAGAGAAGGAGCAGCTCGGTTCTAACAACACTCCATGAAGAAATGCAATAAATTCTTTGTTGTTTTATGAAAATTTACAACTTTGTGATACAAGTTTATGAGTGACCGCGCGCGGGGATTGGCCGACGGGCGGGTCATGTGGACGCGCTTAACGTGAACATGAACTTTTTATGATTTCCCAAGTGGCTATATTGCTGCAGCACTCCGCTCCGGCCCGAGCTGCCGCCTGTCCTTCCCTGCTCCTGCAAGGCTCCACTCGGAGTCCGACCACCGCCAGGAAATGAACACCCGGCTGTAATTAAACGAGCGAGTTAATGAGAATATTTGTTGTGACTGTGGAAACCGGCACGGCGAGACGCCGACAACAAGCCGCCCCTCCCCCTCCTGCTTCTTCTCTTCCTGCTTCGCTATGGCTTCTTGCTCCGTCTGGTCTCGTGCTGCTGCTGTCTATTCCAAATTGGCGGATCTGGATGAGGACAGTTCCGCTGTGATGAGACAAAGAAGGGGCGAGCAGTGGGACCCAACCCGGAGAAAGCATCCCGGAGATGCCCTCATGATTTACATTTTTAATTTCAATTTGACATTTGATTTGTCACTTGTCACTGCAAGGATGATGAAGACTACGGTGGTGGTTTGACGCCTGGGTGACAGCAGTCCCCCATCCCCAGTTCCTGCACTTCCTCAACATTACATCCACCTAATTACCACCCAGTGCAGGGCTGTCTCGTGCCATTCCAGACTGCCTGACTTGTTCGAACGCAAGGAAGTGACCGGCAGGTGTGTGGGCTCGTGACGGATTATCAACAAACGGTAAGAGCCGTCCACGCACGTTTAACGCAACCCTGCATGATGCGCATTGTTAAAGGAGCAGAGAAAATGAGTCAGCGCAGCTTTTCTCAATTCTGCAGCATCTAGTTGATTCATTTGTTTTTTGTTTTGTTTTGTTTGTTTTTTCTAAACGAAGCGTTGCTCCGCCATTTCAGAATAAACGGTTTCCTAGCTGGATCTATACAGATATATTGGTTAGTTTAAATAGTGGTATTAGCTGTCGAGGAGCCATCTATTGCTCGAAACTCGGCTGTTTGAGAACTGAAAGATTAGCTTCCAGCTTTTCCTCCAAAAGCTGCGCATTGTGTTTGCAGGAAGGAGGCAAATGTGCAAATGAAAAAGACTGGCTTTGATCTGATGGCTTTGGCAGAATTTGAAGTCCTTCATTTACTATGACTTTTAAAGATAAAAGCAACAGTTTTCTATTTTGGGGGTTTGCATCTGGCTGCAGGTGAACTGAAGATGAGCTTCTGGGGTTTTTGTCAGTGTTTTACTTCCAGCGTGTAGGTTTTTCTGTTTCGATTTTTTTTTCATTAGATTGACAGCGCGAGTGTGTGTGTGTGTGTGTGTGTGTGTGTGTGTGTGTGTGTGTGTGTGTGTGTGTGTG